CAACAGGCACCAGAACACCGGCAGGACACCACCCCTCCCTTCACTGGCCTGTCAATTCCTCTGCCTAAGTCTTTTAGTCTCCCCCGTAAACTCCCACTGAAACTCCCCTGTTTACAGCTCTGTTTGCTGGCTCCTGTGCCACTGCAGCTGTCTATACCACTGCCTGACTGGCTGGCTACCTTTATAGGACCCCTAATCAGAGAAGCCCCGCCCCCTAATCAGGGCTCAGCTTCTCTCCAAGCACACTGCCCCTACCAGCCTCCACACATATAAACTACAAAATACAATACACAAAATACAAAACCCTTCTCCTCCAACAGAACTCCCACTGAAACTCCCCTGTTTACAGCTCTGTTTGCCATCTTTCTCCCAGCATTCCCCAGCCATTGTCCCTGCCCCCCCCACAGACATCTGTCCCTCTGTCTCCCCCAGCCATGCCCAGAGCTCTCAGTCAGCATCCATGGGGCTGCCCCACTCACCAGGTCTCCTGGCTCATAGCTCACAACAGCGAGGAGGGAGAGGACGGCGCAGGTGCACCCGCGGGCAGGGTGTCCAGGATGCTGCGCAAGGTCACGGTGCCCTTGGTGGTGGGCGGGGGAGCTCTCAAGGCTCCTAGTGTGTTGGGCATCCAGGCGGCGAAATTGTACTGTGGTACAGACACACCCTGGTGGGTCAGAGCCTCACCTTGCGGGAGGGAAAGCTACCCCAGAGCACCCAGGAGTCCTGAGAAAGGGACCCTAGTGGCTACAAAGCCGGGCTGTGGATCCTGATTAGATCTTAAAGGCACAGCATTTAGGTGGTAGTATATCTACACAGCAGACTTAGCCCAGGTTCTCACCTGGGTGTTGCCTCTAACCCCCCTCCTCTCCACAGATAAAACGCTCTCAGCTGGGCTTGGTGCAGCTTTAAACCAGCTGGCTGGCCTGGCTCAGGGGTGAGAATCCAGGGGCTGGTAACCCCAGCTCCCCCCCCACACACACACACTTTGCATTGAGGACACAGGCTAAACCACTTGGGTGTGCTCAGCCCCCCAAGTGTCTTCACACGACTCCCCCTGCACCCTCATCACTTCAGCCTCCTTTTCCTCCCTCTCTGGTGTGCACAGGAGACAGCAGCACTGTGCCCCTAATGTGGATTCACACCATTTCCAGCCCATCATGCCTGGCAGGGAGAGACAAGTTCTCCCGCAGTTCACTGAGACAGACTCACCCCACGGCACAGCACAGAGAACTGGGGGATAGACCCCCATATGCCCTAGAGATACAAACGGGAGGGGACAGCACCGGTAACCTGAGTCTGGCTTTGCAGTATGGCCACTCGCACCCAGGCTAAACAGAGTGCTGATCACCCCAGCAAACTGCAAGCAAGGCATGGCAGTGCTGACTGATTATGGTGGCTATCATATAAGTATAACTCATATTAATAATATGTATTATCTGCACCATATATATGTATTAAGCACCAATAACAGTAGGTACAAATATTATAACAGTGATCTTACCCAAAAGGCCTAATACCATAATCCTGTTCATTGATGCTAAATATCCCATAACACCTTGCATCTGGTGAAGTAAATGTTTGTCACAGATAGGAAACCTGTCAAAAATCAAGATACATTTGTTCTCTGTCTTACTACAAGCTAGGGAATTATCTTCACGACTCAGTGCCAGGAATGCTAGCATCCAGAACAAAGATGTGAACAGAACAAGAAGTTAGAGAACTGGAATGAACTGATGGGTTGGATTTTTCTGACGTGAAAAGAGATGTGTAACTTGTAAAATCAGAAAAACAACAAGGAGTCTGGTGGCACCTTAAAGACTAACAAATGAAATGTGTAAATTGGGGTGCGCACCGTCCACATGAGGTGAACGTAACATCACAGCACGGGATGGCTCCTTGGCGGTTGGTAGTGTACAGAACCTTTTTCCTGTACCATAGTCACAAACCTGACTGACATTGACTATTTGATCTCTTGAGTATATTTCATAATGAACCAAAGTGTGGTCAAGCAACAGATTTAAAACAAGCCAACCAACCTCGACTTCCCCATAAGAATGGCCATACTGGGGCAGACCAATGGTCCGTCTAGCCCAGTATCCTGTCTGCCAACAGTGGCCAATGCCAGGTGCTTCAGAGGGAATGAACAGAACAGGCAATCGTCGAGTGAGCCATACAATGCCGTCAACTCAAAGCTTCTGGCACTCTGAGGCTGGGGACACCCAGAACATGGGGTTGCGTCCCTGCCCAGCTTGATTAACAGCCATTGATGGACTTACCACCTCCCTTGTGTCAGGCGGCACCGCAGCAAGTGGTGTGCTGCAGAATTGGCATAGTTGCCATATTGCCCTGCGTGAGGGGGAGGCTGAGGCTTCAGGGGGGCACGTCTCATGGACTGTAGCACCACAGCAAGCTGAGCCCCTGTGTGAACGCTCATGCAGTGCATTGTGGGAGCACTCGCCCTATCTATAGCGGGTTTCACTCAGAGGCCAGCAGGCCATGGCTCGACAGTCCATACACCCCAAAACGCCTCGAGGGGCGGTAGCTGACTCGCAATGTGAGGACAGGGAACAGACCATACCTGGTGTATCGCGGGAATGGGCCAGCCTGGTAGCCAGCAGGCCTAGCAGGCAAGTAGCAGACGGTCAAGCCCTAGAGTTCTCCCAAACGGGTGGTGGAGAGGGGTAGGGGGACCCGGGCCCTCCTGCTCCACTGGGTCTGGGACCAGGGCCCAAGAGGGAGAGGTGTGAAATGTCTCGCTCACCTCTTAGTGATGTGTGTGACTAGTCTCCTATCTCCTTGGTTTGGGGCATGGGCACAGCCCCCTTCAATGGAGAGCTCCCAATCAGCCTCAGGCACTCACTCAGCCATATGAGCTTTTCCCAGCCCCCGTCCTTGAGTCCGGTTATTTTCCCTCAGCAGAGAGCGGGGGAGGGAAAAGGGGCAGGCCCCTGCCTGCCAGGTTGGGTCCAGGCACTTTCCTGTGCACCACTTCAGGCCCAGAAGCTGCAAACTGGTTCCCACCCTGCAGACAGCGTCTCCCTCACTCTCTCCCCCTGCTTGACCCTCAGTGGCCCCTTTGGAGCAGATCCTCCATTCAGAGGATGCGCCGCAGCTGCCGAGGGGCAGAGCCCTCTCAGCCCAGTGCTGCGCCTTCCCTCCCCCAGTCTCTGTCTCAGGACTGTCCTGGGGATGGTGGGGGGAAATTTCACCGCGTTATAGAGTTTAAGGCCAGAAGGGGACATTGGATCATCTCCTCTGACCTCCTGGCTAGCACAGGCCCGTCCATTTCACCACTTCCCCCTGGGGTATTTTGTTAGGCTAAAGCATTTCTATCCTCTGGAGGCTAAACTGCTGTGTGCCACGGGCAGAGGTGCCACCGAAGCGCCAGGGCAGCGTGTTGAGTGGCTGAGCCGTGCTCAGAGGAATGGCATTGCTAGGAGCCGGGCGAAAGCCTGTCAAACTGCCGTGGGAACGCCCCCGTCGTTTCAGAGGCAATCAAGGGGCCACCCCTAAAACAAGGCCTGTTAGAGTCTGCTCAGAAACTAGCAGCGCGTGTGGGGGGATCCATTGTGTGACAGAGAACGCAAACGGTGACCAGAGGAGAACGGAGCGAGAGGCAGAGGCAAAAGCCAGCAAGGCAAATGCGGCCTGAGCGCCTACAGTGCAGTGTAAACCTGGGGCGGTGGGACCCTGGTGTATGGACTTGCTGTACCCTAGCCCAGGCCTGAGCATCCGCACTGCGTTGTCAACCTGGGTTGACAATTGCTGGCCCCAGGTCTCTGCCATGCCAGCGCGTCCATAGAACCACAGGGTTACAAGGGACCGCAAGGGTCATCGAGTCGAATCCCCTGCCAAGCTGCAGGATTTATTGTGTCTACACCATCCATGACAGCTGGCTACCCAGCCTCCAGCCCATATTGCTGTACACAGACCTTCTGACTCGGATCTGCGGCTTGAGCTGTGTCCACATTGCCCAATGACAGGGCTTGGATCTAACTCACAGTAGGACTCGGGCTCTGACCTACCCCACCAGCGAAGTCCGAGGATCTGGGTCCTGACCCAAGTCAGATTGGTCTGTGTGAGGACGAAAGGTGGGCTTGGGCTCAAACCTGAGTCACACCCTGGGCTTCATGTGCAGTGTAAACATACCCAGTGTGTCCCTGGGAAAGGCTAGAGAGAGAGAGGTTTGGGGACTGTTCGCTGAAGAAGCCTGGGTTCTTCCTGCATTCAGAGAAGCAGCGTTTATCCATTCCTGGTACATAAATCAGACTGCATCGAAAAGAATACCAGACTCCATTGATTTCTGCATCCACCTGGAACATACCGAGGGCCCTGAAACTTGACTAGCCAATTGGATCAAAAAGGGGCAACCATGTGAACCTAGCACTAGTGGTGCAGCACCAATGTTTTCATGGGTCCAGAGTGGGAGAACCCACCTAGCCCTGAGGTGGCTTGGGCTCAATGCACAGGGACTTCCTGTGTGACCCAGGGGAAATCACTCAGCTGGGGGCTGGGTAGGTCTGTTCCCTGGAGGGGTCACCCCAAGCAGATTGGGCTGGCAGGTTTTTAAGGCCAGGAGGAACAATTATGAGCCCCTAGTCTGACCTGCCTAGCACAGTAATCGCTGAATGGAGGCCAGCAACCGCTGGAAGGCTACACCCAGATGCACGATCCTGGGTAAAGGTCTTTAGGGTCCAATACTGAATTATCCACCCTGCTAAAACTGGGCACTTTACTTCCAGTTTAGAGTCAATAGGGCCAGAGTAAGATTCCAGTTCGTGTCAATGGGCGTCTCTCCATTGGAGTCAATGGGGCCAAATCCCGGCTGGTGTCAATGGAGTGACACTGATATCCCTTGCCATGGAGACACCCTCTGGCCCAGTGCAGAGATCCACCCACCAAATCAGCTGAACTTCCCAGGGTTCCAAAGAGAGGTGGGAACCTGAAAAGCAGCATATTTTGGGGCTATTCAAACCCAGCTCCCCCCAACTCTCTCCTACCTGCCCGCTGTTGACAGCGGCATGCCGGGCCGAGCTGCAGTAGATGATCATGGTGAGGAACTTGATAAGCTCAGCTCTGGTCTGCAATATGGAGGGGACACCTAATGGGTCGAGAAAGGCAGTGAGCAAACACCAAGAGTCATCTCTGCCTTGGGGAACAACACACCTCTACACACACACACGCACACAGCTGCCTCAATCCCCTCTTGTCAAGCACTGCTACACCCTGGGGACTGATTGGTTAAGCAGCAGTTCTGCAGAAAAGAACCTGGGGATTACAGTGGAGGAGAAGCTGATTATGAGTCAGCAGTGTGCCCTTGTTGCCAAGAAGGTCAACAGGATATTGGGCTGCATTAGTAGGAGCATTGCCAGCAGACCTAGGGAAGTGATGATTTCCCTCTATTCGGCACTGGTGAGGCCACACCTGGAGTATTGCATCCAGTTATGGTCTCCCCACTACAGAAGCGATGTGGACAAATTGGAGAGAGTCCAGCAGAGGGCAACAAAAATTATCAGGGGGCTGGAGCACATGATTTATGAGGTGAGGCTGAGGGAACTGGGCTTGTTTAGTCTGCAGAAGAGAAGAGTGAGGGGGGAGTTGATAGCAGCCTTCAATTACCTGAGGAGGGGTTCCAAAGAGGATGGAGCTCGGCTGTTCTCAGTGGTGGCAGATGACAGAACAAGGAAAAATGGTCTCAAGTTGCAGTGGGGGAGGTCTAGTTTGGATATTAGGAAACACTATTTCACTGGGAGGGTGGTGAAGCACTGGAATGGGTTCCCTAGGGAGGTGGTGGAATCTTCATCCTTAGAGGTTTTTAAGGCCCAGCTGGCTGGGATGATTTAGGTAGTCTTGGTCCTGCTCTGAGCAGGGGGTTGGACTAGATGACCTCCTGAGGTCTCTTCCAATCGTAATCTATGATTCTATGATTCCCCACTATGAGGAATGGGGCAAATAATGGAGTTTTTGGTTCACTGGCCATACAAGGGGGAAAAAATTATTTCGGGTCCACCCAAAACTGAAATTTTTCAGGAACTGAAAGGTCATTAAAAAGTCTTTTGATTTCAAACATTTTTTTTAATCTTTTACTCACTTTTCAAAATTAAAATGAAGGGACATTTCTAAACAAAAAGTTATTTCAAAGGGAAAAGTCCAAAGGTTTCATTTCAAAGAGATTCAGAATTTGTTTTTCTAATGAAGCAATTTGGTGAAATTTACACAGATCTGTGAAATATTTCAGTGTCACCAGGTCTGTATTTTTTGCCAAAAAAGGTGACATTAAAAAAAAATCACTTAGCTCTATGCCCACAACTCAGCAGAGAGAGTCCGAGTCCTGATCTGCATGCAGAGTGACTTTGCAATAACGAAACGTGCAATTTTTACACTGATTTTAGTTAATAGATTCATAGAATTCAAGGCCAGAAGGGCCCACTCTGATCTTCTAGGCCAATGTCCTGTGTAAGACAGGCCAAGAACTCCCCCAGAATAATTCCTACCAGAACTAGGGGACATCTAGCACATCCTCCAGCGAGGCCTCCAGCCTGGACATGAAGCCATCAGGAGATGGACAATTCACCACTTCCCTTGGCAGTTTGTTTCCCTGGTTAACAGCCTCACTGTGAAACATTGGCACTGATTGTTCCAACTCTTTGTACGGGTGCTCTTGCAACCAGCAACGTTGCCAAATCTCACAATTTTAGTGCGAGTCTCATGGTGTTTTTTCATTTCCTTGAAGACCTAGATTCCAGCCTATTGCGAACACAACAGAATCTCAGCTTTCGTTAAATCAAATAAGGATGTTTCTGACCCTCACCATTACAAAGCTAAGGAACTGCAATTCCTAAAGGTTCAAAAAGCCAGAAGGCAAATACAAGTAACCCCATGTGTATTGTTTTCTCAATCTCATGAGTTTTAAACCACTCTCATGACTGGGGGTCCTGATCCATGAGTTTGGAACCTTTAGGGTCCTCAAGACTGTGGGTATGTCTAAAAAGTAGAGTTAACCTGCAGGCTTATGGGGTTGTTTTCCCTGGGCCTGACTCCACACTAGAACTGTGCAGAACCCGGAATTTCCCTTCCACAAAAAATCTGAGATTTTTGCCGAACAAAGCCGACACATTTAGACTTTTGTTGCAAAACAGAATTTGCTAAAACATTTCATTTCAGGTGGAGCTGCGCCCTTCATTGTAGAAGCAAAGAAAGGTTTCCTCCTGAATTTGATGAAATAAATAAGATTTTTTTTTTAAAAAAAATCAAGGCAAAAAAAAATGGACCATTTCCTAGATGCTAAAGCCACCATGACAATCTACTCTGACATGTGTAACTTCCCTGAGTTAATTCCTGGTTCAGCTAGCGCAGAGCCTTCAGAAAAACATCCACTCTTGAGCTAAAAATTACCCGTCATGGAAAATACTCTGCAGCCCTTGGGAAGTTTCCCCACTGATTAATTACCCTCACTGGTAAAAATTTACACCTTCATTCCAATGGGAATTGGTTTGGTTTCAGTTTCCAGCCATTGGATCTTTCTCTGCTAGATAGAAGAGCCCGTCATCAAATTGTTGTTCCCCACGTGGGGCCTTATACACTGGTTTGGCCTCTACCCAGAGCAGCAAGGCCACAAGGAGAGGCCTGCACGGTTCCTTCCCCGGGCAATGCGGCCAGGGCCGGCTCTAGGCACCAGCAAAACAAGCTGGTGCTTGGGGCGGCACATTTTTAGGGGCGGCATGGCCGTCGCCAGCATGCCACCCCTAAAAATGTGCCCCGGCCGCCCTAGCTCACCTCTGCTGCTGCTGCCGCTCGCGCGCCACGGCGTGTGAAACAGCTGATCGCGCGCCGCTGCTCCCCCTCCCTCCCAGGCTTCAGAGCCTGGGAGGGAGGGAGGGAGGGGGAGAAGCGGCGCCCGCGCCGCGGCCACTCGGAGTCTCCCCCTCCCTCCCAGGCTCTCAAACCTGGGAGGGA